GGAAATCACCAGCATAATAGGCCACACCCCTGACAGCACAGCACATTAGCATATTAGGCCACACCCATGCCTTCCCTTGGCTTGCCCGGGCGCCCCACAGCAATGGGGAGCCCAAGCAAGCCCCCCCCCTTGAAGGGAAGGGAAGTTTAAACTGCCTTCACTTGGCTTGCCTGGGCGCCCTGCGGCTGCAGGGCACCCGGGCAAGCCAGCCCTTGGACAGGCCAGGGAAGGCACGGGGAGGCATTTAAATACCTCCCTGATCATTCCAGGCCCCCCCCTGGCCCACCTGCCTTGGAGTCACGGGGGGGGGGGTGTCGCTCTCCAGGCCTTCCCTCTGTAGCCACGCACACAGAGAAGCCAGCCGGAACTCCACTCCTGTGCGTTCCTGCCCGAAAACAGCCCTGATAATGATAAATAACATGTTTATGAGAAGGTGTTCATATATCTAATCCTCCCAAATATTATTTCTAAAAACCATGTAACAGGAAGACTTTTATGTAAGAGTATGTAAAGTATCAAATCGTTGCAATTCCTGTACATGGAGGACAAGCAAATACTGGAATACAATTCGGATACTGAGGATGCAATTCTCAGATGCAAGAGAAAGATCCATTTCTATCTCCAGGGGGCGATACGGTTGTCACAAGAGAAGGAAAAAGGTTTTAGGTTTCCTTTTTGCTTGTGGACTTCATCTTGTTGGTATAGTTCAGGGGTGGCCAAAATGTGGCTCAGGAGCCACATGCGGCTCTTCCACACATATTGTGTAGCTCCCAGAAGGACAGCTTGGGAAGCGAAATTAAGGCGTGCCTCCCCAATCGGTCTTCCCTTCCCCAGCCAGTGTTCTCCTTCCCCGGGTAGGCTTGAGGTGTGGGGGGGAGCAGAGAAAGAAAGCAACTTTAGCTTTAAATGCAGTCTCAAAGCCCCCTTCCCCCCCCACAGGCCTACAAATATCATTGGATAAATAAATACCATTATCAATATCTGTTTTTACCCCCTTTTGTTTTTATTTTTGACAGCCTCACTTAATGTTAATCAGGGCTTTTTTTGTAGAAAAAGCCCAGCAGGAACTCATTAGCATAATAGGCCACACCCCTGACAGCACAGCTCATTCACATATTAGGCCACACCCCCATGTTACCAGAGGTGTGGTCATCCAACCACACCCACCTTTTGCTTGTTATTCTGTTTACCTTGTTTGTTGTCCAAACCCAGGGCTTTTTTTTGGAGCAGGAACTCCTTTGCATGTTAGGCCACACCCCCTAATTGTAGCCAATCCTAATGAGTTTCTGCTGTTGGGTGTGGCCTGATGTTAATAAAAGGCAAATCTGCATCTTTTTCAATAAAAACGCGTGGGTTATATTTGTTCATGTCTTGTGGCTCTCAAACATCTGACGTTTATTCTATGTGGCTCTTACGTTAAGCAAGTTTGGCCACCCCTGGTATAGTTGGTGGATCTGTTTCTGTCCACTCAGTTAGGCCTCAAAAGGAGGAGAAGGAGGAGAGGAGATTGGATTTATACCCCGCCCTTCACTACCCGAAGGAGTATCAGAGCGGCTTACAAACTCCTTTCCCTTCCCCTCCCAACAACAGACACCCTGTGAGGTGGGTGGGGCTGAGAGAGCTCTGACAGAAACTGCTCTTTTTCAAGAACAGCTCTTATCAGAACTATGGCTTGCCCAAGGTCATCCAGCAGGTGCAAGTGGGGAATCAAACCCGGCTCTCCCAAATTAGAGTCCACGCACTTAACCACTACACCAAACTGGCTGTTAGCGAGTACTACAGGGCAATCAAGGGAGCGGCTGAAACCATATTTAATCAAAAGGTAAGAGTTTAAATTCATCTGGATTCAGAAAACTGAACCATACTTCAACAGCATTAGTTTATCTTCATAACCCTTATCTAAATCATAACTCCTACAAAATTTCATTATGGCAACCCCCCCCCCCCCCCGCATCATAGTATAATGGTTATCTGCAAACTGGCAGTCACCACTAAATTGTTTTTTATTTTCCTTCCTCAGTAAAATGGTGAGACCAACATCTAGCTTTTGGAAACGCTTCCACACTGCAAGTTCTTCTCGGGGGGGCGGGGAATGCAATTTCCAAATACTGTCAAATGAGAGATGCTTTTCCAAATGCTGATATTAAGAAGTCCTTCGGGGATTTAAATGAGGAGAACTATAGCAATGAAAGTGACTTTTAATCTGTAAAGAGTATTAATATTGCATTTTTTTCAATTTTTCTGAAAATTTCCTTTTTTTCCGGGGGGGGGGGCATAAAAAAAGTTTTCCCCCATGGCATCAACATTTCAAGAAATTTTACATCTCTACCCAAGAAACATCAAAGCCCTTCTTTGTTTTGACACTTGGATTGCTTTGCTTGTAACTTTAAAAAAAAGGCATTTAAGTGCGTGGACTCTAATCTGGGAGAACCAGGTTTGATTCCCCACTCCTCCACTTGCAGCTGCTGGATGACCTTGGGCAAGTCATAGTTCTGTCAGAGCTGTCCTTGAAAGAGCAGGTTCTCGAAAGAGCTCTCTCAGCCCCACCCACCTCACAGGGTGTCTGTGGTGGGGAGGGGAAGGGAAAGGAGTTTGTAAGCCACTCTGAGACTCGGAGTGAAGGGCGGGATATAAATCCAATCTCCTCCTCTTCTAGCTGTTCTACGGCAGACCAATAAGGCTGTCCTCTAAAACTATCTTTCTGAGAGACAGGTTGCTTTTGTCAAAGGATAAATTCATACCATATTATTATCTTAGTCCATGTAACTGAGAAGTGTGATTCTCTTGAGAGTACGTGGACAGCAAACAGTGGCTCCATAGCCAATGCATGGGGGGCAGGGGGACATAGTTACAGTTGATCATCTGACCATGACCTGGCCAGTCACAGAGCAGATCCAAAGCACAAAAATTAAGTATGAGAGAGAAGATAAAATGCCAATTGTCAGCCAGTACGGGTTGTGCTGGGCTTATCCCCCCCCCCCCCGGGGGGTTTGGGGGGGGGGGGGGAGCGGACACAACACAGCACAGCACTCTTATGCAAGATGATGCAATAGCCTTTCCAGGACCCTTCCGTGTCACAGGAAAAAACACAGCTGGCTGTGTTCTCCTAACGTGTTTACTTTGCCTGCAGGAATTGTTTGCTTGTTTGTGTCAAACGGTTTACCGAGCAGAGCTAATCAATGTTTCCGCTGACAAAGAAATGGTTGTAACAGTTGACTCAGGAAGCCGCAGTCTTCAGGAAGACGTTTGCCCTACTCACACCCTAGTACTAGAGGAATCTTCAGTTGTGGCTTCTTCCATGTCTCCTGGATTTCCTGCAAAAGTTTGGGAATGTCTAACATTTCAGATTGGATTCAGTGTCTTACGAAGTACTGCCTGTCTGTCTTTTACAGTCCAGTGGCACCTTCAAGACCAACAAAGGTTTATTCAAGGTCAACAGTTGTATATAACCTTAGCTTGTTATTTAGTTTTGAACTCTTACCTTCCATTCCAATGCATTTGAAAAAAGTGTGCTTTGCACACGAAAGCTCATGCCTTGAATAAACCTTTGTTGGTCTTAAAGGTGACACCGGACTCTAAATTGTTTACACCAGAGAGCCAGTCTGGTGTAGTGGTTAAGTGTGCAGACTCTAATCTGGGAGAACCGGGTTTGATTCCCCACTCCTCCACTTGCACCTGCTGATGTGACCTTGGGTCAGTCACAAGCTCTGGCACAGCTGTCCTTGAAAAAGAGCAGTTTGTGTCAGAGTTCTCTCAGCCCCACCCACCTCACTGGGTGTCTGTTGCGGGGAGGGGAAGGGAAAGGAGTTTGTAAGCCCCTCTGAGACTCCTTTGGGTAGTGAAGGTTGGGGGTATAAATCCAATCTTCTTCTTCTTCTTCTAAATCTGTTCTACTGCTTCAGGCCAACACGGCTGACCACCTGGAACTACCTGTCTTTTAGAAAGCCTTGTGATAACAGATATAATAAGATATAGTCTAGGCATGGGTTGACCAGGGGCTGATGCAGAGGGAAGGGCAGATCTTGGCCATTTTGGTCATGAAGAAATAATGGCACTTTCATGTCTGGATCTGCAGCATCAGCCTGACTGACAGAAAAGGGCATGGGGTTGCAATTTCAATTGAAAGAAAGAAAAAGAAAAAGAAAATGACAGGAGAGGAGGAGATTGGATTTATACCCCGCCTTTCACTCAGAGTCTCAGAGCGGCTTACAAACTCCTTTCCCTTCCCCTCCCCACAACAGACACCCTGTGAGGTAGGTGGGGCTGAGAGAGCTCTTTCAAGAACTGCCCTTTCAAGAACAGCTGTGCCAGAACTATGGCTTGCCCAAGGTCATCCAGCAGCTGCAAGTGGAGGAGTGGGGAAATCAAACCCGGTTCTCCCAGATTAGAGTCCGCACACTTAACCACTACACCAAACTGGTGTATATTGGACAACTAGGTAGGATGCTAGAGTGGCCTGTATGTGAAAGGAGTGTCACACAAAGATTTTTATGGGATTCAAGTGCTTTTTAGAGATGTTTTGTAGAAAGGAAAATGATAACAGATGAATAGCTGCCAGTAAGCCAAGTGCAACCCGTGTGTAGATTCATCTCAGTGTACTAAAGCAATCACACTTGGTGTGGACTCCTGTGTATATTTATTAATTATTGTGAGACCTGACATATGTCACTTCCTAAGGATTCACAAGCACCAGTGTTCAGGCTGCAGAAACTTTATGGATTATTAATCAACCCATCAATTATCAGTAATTGTTAAGATGTGTATCTTCAGTTATACGAATGGCCTTTTTTACATTGGCTCTCTGCTGATTTCATGCTTTGAGTTTGGTGTAGTGGTTAGGAATGTGGGCTCTAATCTGGGAGAACCAGGTTTGATTCCTGGCTCCTCCACATGGAGCTGCTGGTGTGACCTTGGGTCATTTACAAGCTCTCTCAGAAGTGTTCTCTCAGGAGTAGTTCTTGAAGAGCTCTCTCAGCCCCACCTACCTCACAGGGTGTCTGTTGTGGGGCGGGGAAGGGAAAGGAGGTTGCAAGCCACTCTGAGACTCCTTCGGGTAGTGAAGGGCGGGGTATAAATCCAATCTCTTCTTCTTCTCCTTTTTAATCATAAGTTTTTGGACCCCTGGGATAAGGTGATATTGGCCAAGAAGGCTTCCTGTAACCTAGTGATTTGATATCCTGATTTGTCTGTTAAGCACATTAAAGATCATATATGCTCCATCTGTACTTTGGAACAGTTTTCTACCATCATTCAAGATTGCGTGGACTGCCTCCACCCGCTGCAAACCCACACAACAGACAGACATAAGTTTTCAGAAAACTCATGCTACCAAACCGAGTGCATCACTCACTTTTGTATTTTTGCTAAATTCCATTCCACCCCCCCTGCAAACTTTCTCAGGATAGGTAAAGGTAAAGGTTCCCTTGCTCGAAAGTCAGTCAAATCCGACTCTAGGGTTGCGGTGCTCATCTCCGTTTCCAAGCCGAAGAGCCAGCGCTGTCCGAAGACGTTTCCGTGGTCATGTGGCCGGCATGACTAAACACCAAGGCGCACGGAACGCTGTTCCCTTCCCACCGAAGTGGTACCTATTTATCTACTTGCAATGTTTTGCTTTCGAACTGCTAGGTTGGCAGGAGCTGGAACTAGAGACAGGAGCTCACTCCATCATGCGGCACACTCGGGTCTTGAACTGCTGAACTACTGACCTTCCACAGCCTGCAGTTCAGCGTCTTAACCACTCGAGCCACCGCAGCTCCTCAGATAAGCTGGATACTTTGCAACAAAAGCCATGCTATTTTTTTCACCCATAGGAGCTGTCCAAACTCGGCCTTGGCAGTGAAATAGACCTATACATCGCAGAACTACCAGCAGTTTACCAAAAAGCAAAAGAGCTTGTCTGTGCAATATGGGCAACACGTCAGCCCCATGTAAGTGGCGATACACACAACAGGGCTTTATTTCAGTTAAGCTAACAGTGAATCAAGGGAGAAGGCTTCAATTAGTTCAGGAAAATGGCTGTGAGGAACTTGGATCTAATCATGTCTGTCTATATGCTTTAGTTATAAGCACAAGACAGAGTTTACCCACGCTGTACCTATATCTGAACATTCATAAAAGGAAAGGTGAAATGGAACTTAAGGGATGCATAAAAAGTGGAAAGAACCCACTGAGACTGCATTTTAAAGCACACACGAATAGTCTTATACATACAACAAAGCACATGCTCAAATCAAAGGATCTACAAGTTGTCATGGTGCAGAGAAGTTGTATTTTAACACCCTCGAAAACAAGAAATGAGTGCCCAATTCCTTCCCATCCTTATGGAGCCAATTTTATGTTAAGGTGAACCAGCCAGTGTGTTCATTATGGACAATAACATGGGGCAAAGAATTTTAAGAATAAGAAAACGAGCTCTCTGGACTTGCTTCAAAGGTCTGGTGTGCAAAGCTTTAAACTGTAGGGCAAAATGGGTTAATTTAATTTCCTGTTACCTTCTCTTGTGGGGGTGATGACATGCAGCTTGTGATTCACGTTGGCCTGGCTTCGGCTTCCAGAGCCACCATCCTTCTGGAGCAGTGTGGAAAGAACAAAGGCTACAAAGAAAGAGATGTTTGCGGGTTTCTCCCAGAAGATGGCTGTTGTGTGTCTGAAGGCCCAGAAAGAATTGAGTCAACAATTAATATGAAGAGAGTCTGGAAAAACCTCCTGACAGAAGGGATCGATGCCGTTTTTTCCAGAGATGCGGGAAGGTGAATGGCTTGGTGCATTCAGGAGCCAATATCTATTGTGGGAAATGTCGTTCCATTAGAAATTTTTCCCTGAGAAAACCTGTATCAAATAGAAATGTTCTTAACAGTTGGAAATACCAGGGAAAGTGTGTGTGTGTGCGCGCGTGGGTTAAGACCTGTGAAAATACTGAATGCAATAAGACCTATATAATCCCAAACAGCATTAAACTGATCTCGTGTTCTTCAACCTTCAAATTACGTGAACATATTGTGAGGTCTAGACACTGAACTGACTAGGCCATTATGATAGTATCACGCAGGGCTATTTTTGGGCAGGAACGCACAGGAACGGAGTTCCGGCTGGCTCCCGAGTTGGCCACGCCCAGCAGGGACTCATTAGCATAATAGACCACACCCAACAGCAGGAACTCATTAGGATTGGCTACATTAGGGGTGTGCGGCCTAACATGCAAAGGAGTTCCTGCTACAAAAAAGCCCTGGGTTTGGACAACAGACAAGGTAAACAGAATAAGAAGCAAAAGGTGGGTGTGGCTGGATAACCACACTTCTGGTAACATGGGGGTGCGGCCTAATGTGCTAATGAGCTGTGCTGTCAGGGGTGTGGCCTAATATGCTAATGGGTTCCTGCTGTTGGGTGTGGCCTATTATGCTAATGACTTCCTGCTGGGCTTTTTCTACAAAAAGAGCCCTGGTATCACCAGAGAGAACTTGTATTAAAATCAGCAATCTAATATTTGACAAATTCATGGAGGATATTCCACCATTCCACCTGACGTATCCAGAACCATTCAGCAGCAAATAATCAGACACTTGCCCTTCTCACATCAGGTACCATGAAAACAACCATTATCTAGAAATGGTTGCCAGGAATGGACCTTATTCAACCCCCCAAATGCTTTGATGTATCTCAGGAAATAAAACCTCTTTCCCCAGTTGGAATCCCAGTTAGCTGTTTGGCCTGACCTTGTCAGGGCTAGGGACCTAAGTAGGCTCGGCCATGGCTAATACTTGGACGGGAGGCCACCAAGACAGACTGTGGTTACTACATGGAGGAAGGCAATGGCAAACCACCTTTGTCCATCTCTTGCTTCGAGCATGTGGATGGGGCTTGCCATGAGCTGGTTATGACTCGGCAGCATGTTCTTCTTCTTCCCCAGTTGCATCCCAAAACTGTGGCACAACGGGAGGAGCATTAAGGGGGGGGGAAGACCCCGAGTTCACACAGACCAATTTGGACCTTCCCCCTTTTCTCTGATTTGTGGATCGTTTCAAGCTAGCCTCTTGACCCAATGCGCACACTATGTTGTGCAGAAATACTGCTTGTGTAAGGTGCTCCATCAGTTTAGTGGTAGAAACCAACCTGCATGCATAAAGAAATTCTTTGCATCCCTGGCTGAAATGAATGGGCAAAGAAATCACAGAATCAGGACTGTGCCCCGATTTTTGCAACCAAATATGCCCGCATCATTTAAAATATTCTCCAGGTATCCATTGCTTTGATGCAATACATTCAAGCTAGTCATTGATAACAAAATGGATCTAAAAAATCTATAATTAAGTCACACGTTACACAACCTTAAATGTACCTTCTTCTGTATCACAGGTATGTCTGTGATTATACCTATTATACTTCTCTTTACTATGGTAATGGAAGAGCCGCATTTATCCATGTGCCTCCGCTATCCAAGTGGGTAACAGCAGAATTTCTAGGAAGAACACTGCAGAGAGTTATCTTAGAAATGCTGAAGCAATGCAAGCAGGAAAACAGGTAAAAAATGGTTTACACAAGACATTCCATTATAATAGAATGCAAATTTTGCCGCGGCCGTGATCAATGTTCCCTCTAAGCTGTGGAGTCTTGTGAGCAAAAATTCTACTTTGTGAGCTACTGGCATTAAAGCTGTGAGCCAGCGATTTGGCTACTGCATAAGTTAGTTTGCTCTGGAGACATCCTTCCTGAGCCAGGACAAAAATGTGTGAGCCGGAGGCTAAAAAACTGTGAGCTAGCTCACACTAACTCAGCTTAGAGGGAACACTGCCCGTGATGACACTGAACCTAAAAGTCACAGGAAACCCCGTGCCTTGTGTGTACACTTGGACCTCCCGCATGTATAAACTTCCACTTTCAGTTAAGAAGTTCCGCTCACACAAAGGGAATAGGAAAATTCCATTAGGGAACAAGAGCTGTCTGCGTGAAACTGAGCCTTGCAAAGACAGAAGGAGCACGTATTAAAAGATCCCTCACATATATATTAAAGGTTGCAAACATTTTGACTAGCTGGGAAGACTGTGGACAGCAATGTATAATTCTAAATTGAGCCTTTAAAATATTCCTACCTGTGTAACTCTAGTTTTGGTAAAGGAGATCTCTGAATTCATTCTTGCAGAGAACGATCCAAAGGAGAACCATTGGAAGATGAACAAGAAGACCCATGGAAGAAATGAAGGAACTTTTTATGTTCTGAACCCTTTCATGTATCCATCTGACAGTGAATAAAAGCACCACACGAGACACGAATGCATACAGAATCCTTTTTATTTAACTTAATCATGTAGTACTGTAACTACTAGAAAAAAGGCAGAGTAAGAGAAACTAAAGGAGCCTTTTTAGCTTCAGCCATTCAAAATAGACAAAAGGTTTCTTTTTTTTCATAATGTAAAGAATCCAGAGTATATCGCAACAGGAATAAATTCTTACAACAGAATATACAAAAACATTTTGAATTTTTTTTCATCTACTGATTCATTTTAATATAAACACAGGAATTTCTTTAGGAATAATTTATACACAGCAAGTCTTTATGTAATAAATTGGCCATGTTATTACCGTTTTATTTTTTATTTTTTTTGTAAAAAAAACTTTATATTTTAAACAAGGTAACTTGGAAAATGTTGTGTTTGCAAATGCATTCAGTTCCATAGCACTTTCTACTTTGATTTTTTTTGTTTATTTTTACTTTTTTTTTGTCCCAGAGGTAGAAGATCTCTGGCCAGTCCTTTCTTTTCAAACCTCACTGGTTTAGAAAACAGAAAAATAAAAAATGATTCTGAAAAAGGCAACAAAACTATCCAGAATCCTTCAGGTAAGAAGGGGAAAGAACATGTTATTTTGAAGAAAAGAAATAGGATCTTCGGTATTCTTGTTTAAATAATTATAATAAATAGGGGACCTTGTGATGGTCATTTAAACAAAGCTTTAATGTTGCTAAATAATCTACATAAATCGTATAGGCTGCATACAAAACCACTTCTGTTCATTTAAAAAAAAAAAGTGATGAGGAACCTGTAAACAGTTGTCTTTCGTTCAGTGAAAACTTTTGAAAATTGTCTTTCACCATGCCATCTACATACTATGCAGTCAAATCCTTCAATCAACCTAAGCAACAACAATAAAGCATGTACTTAAATAATGCAAACATTGTTCCAACCCCAAGCACATTTACTCAGAAGTAAGTTACTTTAATTTCAGTGGGATTTACTTCCAAAGAACTGTGTTTAGGATCGTAGCTAAGAACTGCTTAGCAGCAATACTTAATTCTGTTTCCTTAACCAATGAGGTTCCCCCCCTCCCCAACCTATTAAATTTAACTGCACTCGTACAGTAAAAGTGAAATGACCAGTTAAAAATGATCCCACCCATTCCGGAAGACCAGGTCACTGAAGATACAGAACACATTCTGGGTTTACGCTTTACTGGGATGCTAAGCTTGGGCAGGGAATGCGCCATGACCTTGAGTTGGTACAGGATCCATTTTTGGCATACTGTAAAGCTAACTAGTAAAACCGGTATCCTAAAAAAAAAAAAAACCCACCCAAAAATACTTGCATACCTGCTCAGACACAGACATACATACGCTCACACTGAAAAGTGCCCTTTAAATTATCTTTAGGCATTTATAAACTACAAACATCTTTATAAAAAATTATTCTATGTACTTACAAAATGCAATGAAATATGTAATTAGGGTGTTTTGTGTGTTTTGTAAACCAGATCTTTTGTCAACTGACTACCCGTAATCTACTGGACTTAAGAGCCCCATTGAAAATGCTAATGGATTGCTAGTCAACAAAGGATACAAAATAAAAGATAACAAGCGCACACATGTAACACACACATTCCACATACAATAAGTGTAATGAAAGCCACCTGGAACTGGCACAACTTTGTTTTAGTTCTTCTCAGCTGCCCCATCCGACAGTTCCAATGCATACACAGAGAAACTCCTCCATCTCACCAAGAGTTTCTCCATTTTTGTCAAGGGAGAGCACAGTGCCATAGAATGGAACCGCCTTCTCATAAAGGAAATAGAGAACTCCATGTATGCAGGAGCTCCACATTCACACGGGGCTCTCGATCAGGGTAAACATGTCACAACGAGTAATGGTTGTACTTCATTCTCCAGCAGAGACACCGAGGGGAGAATTCTCGTTTCTGCAAGTTCCAAACAACAACATGTGTCAATCCAGGGCATAGGTGTATTTGCGCCTGCACAACTACTTTGAAGTTCAGTCAAACTCTGTGTCTCGCGAGATCAGTATTTCTGCCACACATCTCTTTTCAAACACAGCCTTGCATTGGTTTCCCCTGCAGTTTTAGACAGACCTCATCATGGTTCTCAAAGTCTATGAAAAGAAACGCTAAGCATCTCAACTCAGAACCAACCAGCCTTCCAAACTGAGTTGCCGTCCAAAACCTTCTTGTCTATCACCCAGGGGGGTTCTGTATCTTCAGCACGGCCAGCACACACGGAAAAGAAAGTCAACTGATGTTAATGGGCCCTCTTGTCAATTTAGTCTGCCCAACTATTTTTTTTAATATATATATATATATATATTAAAGAGTGTTGAGTTGCAGTATCTGGAGTTCATCACTAGCTGAAAAGGAGTGGATCATTTGTGGCTCCTGCGATTTGTTACATAGCCCCAGTGATTAAGTACGATGCTGACAAACAAAATCAAAGAGCAACAAGAAAGTGTTACTGACTATTGGAATGGAAAGTTTTAATATAACTAGATAGAAAATCATACCAACAATTCGGAGTGTCGTTCATTCAGACACGGATTGTGCTAAACAACCCTCCGCCGTTCCCAGAGGATCTAAACGGCAGTTCCGTCCGGTGCCCGGTCCTGGGCAAACTAAGCTTGTGTACCAAGAACAGCCATCAGTGCTCACCAACTTCAAATTCATTTGGAACCGTTCTCAAGGAGCAGAAGTGTCAAGGAAAGGCCAAAGCTTAACTAGAAGCCAGCCATGCTTTGATCGGCATGGTCAAAACAAGCTGAACTACACATGTTAACACTTCTGTCTTTATCCCGCCTCCTTCCTCTGAAACCAAACCACCTTCTGCACACCACTGAAAGAACCTCACAATGACAGACACACCTGAATCACTTATCTGTGATGAGGATTTCTCAGCAACTAAGTCAAATAAAGAGCGCATGAGATGAAATTCTTCTAGGGCCTATTGACAAATTTAAGAAGAGAATAGCAAGTTACCGTGGCTGGACGGCATACAAAGTTATTAAATAGGAAAACTGTTGATCTCAACAAAAACGTGACCTTGTCGATAAGAATCAGCCTCCTTTACTGGAGAATTGGAGGGTAGCCAACCTAACATCAAAAAGTGTTTTGGTGAGGGGCAGCCTGGGAAAACATGTCTCGCAAGTAAATAAGTAAATCACATTATCAACTTATTCATAAATGATTTGGATTCAGGGGTGGGCAGTGAGGTAGCCGAGTTTGTGGATGACACCCAATTCTTCAGAATGGTGAAGACTGAAGGGGACTATGAATGCGCCAAAAAAGGATTTCTGTCTTCAGATTCAGTGAATGGGCAACAAGATGGCCAACGGACCAAAAATAGCAAACACAGTGCAGGGTTACCAAAAAACAACAACAATAACTGTATATGGTATAACTTTCATACTAGCAGAACTAGGATTCATCCAATTACATTGATGAGTAGTAGATTCAGGCCACAGAGAATTTCTTCACCCATAATTTATGGAACTTACTGCCATGAGACAGCCACCAGCTTAGACAGCTTTGAAAGGGGACCTAAGACACCCAGAGGGCATGTCTGTCATGTTCAGGGGCAGTTTACTGCTAAATTGTAAGGGGGGAAATGGGGGAGGGTGGTCGCTTTCATGCCACGGGTGGGTTTCTTGCAAAACAATATGGCTGCCATAGTGGGAAATGGAATGCCGGATTAGATGGGCCCTTGTTCGGATCCAGCAAAACTCTTAAGAACATAACTAAAGGTGACATGCTTGCCCCCAAAAGTTCATCTTTCTGTCTTCCTCCAAGCCAATACATTTCTCCATTGGTTAGTCGCATCCTGCTAGGTCTTCTGAGCTTACTGTCAGGCCTATGAACTGACTTTTTACAGTTTTAATTCAAACTCGTATCAAATTTCTCCAGCCCATACCAGACAATGGCCTTGCAGAAAAAGGCAAGTCTTGTGCCCATTACCAAGCCAACATTAAAGTCACTAATGTTTGACATGCATAAATAATATTTATATTCAATAAAAGGACTGTGTGAGAAATACCAGGTAGATACAGTGATCTGGGACACACGCAAACCCCCCCCCCCCAATACCAGTACAGAAAGAGCTGTGGAAACCAAAATGGAATTAGTTCAGATGTTGCGAGTGCAGAACACAATAGTAGAGTTGAGGTGGTTTGGTCCAGATGGGCTACTGTAATCACATGCGCCCACTTGTTTCGTCACATGACTGCCTTACACTTGAATGCTTCTGAAACGTATATTAAGATGGGCACTACAATATTAGTGTTCTCTCCTAATATTCTTAAAACCACCTACATACAATTAAAAAAAAATAACTTGGACAGTTTTAACAAAACCCTCTTAGCCAGCTGAAAGATCTGAGGATCCCCACGGATTGTGGAGATTAATATGTGCAAGAGAGGAGAGGCCACCACTGAAAAACAAAAGGATCACCATGCAGGAACGTTTCTGATCAGTGACATCAAAGCAAGGAAGTGCTGGGAGTGGACAGCCATACCCTCTCAAAGGGACAAATGAACTGCGTAACCACAGTGATGCACCTGGCAGGCCTTGGACATCTCAAATGAATCAAGCACTATTCAGATACCCACAAGCAATTCTTGCAGTGACAACTGCCTGATTTGTGGGGGAAGGAGGGGATGTAATACATCATATTCAAGGCAGGTGCATTTGGTTTGTACTCTTAATTCATATACAAGTGAAAAGCCATTGGGAGAATCTGCCAACTGGCTGATCAGAATCAGTGTCAACAGGTCTTGGTTCAAGGCGTAGGAAAAGATTTTTCAAAGTAGATCCTAACATTTTTTTTTAAAAAACTACATAAAGCGGCTACCAAAAAAGATCTAAAGCTAGTGGACACTTGGTTCGGTGACATCCCCTTTTTTGGATTGGGCCAAAGAACCGTATCATTTTTAGGTCCTGAATTGTTCAAACACCCTTTTTCAGTGCTCGTGGTGCTTGAAAATGGCTTTGTCCTTGTCCTCTCCTCCATATTTAGAAGGGCGACAGTTCAAAATGTGTATAGGGCTGGGATGCCTGAATAATGCATTAAGAAAGCCCTCATTTTAAACCCTGGAGAGAGACAGTAATTTCTAGGCCAGATGACCTGGCTGTGTAAAAGTTTGCGTCATGCCGTTTTCCTAGAGTACACCAGCCCAGTCTCCCAGGATGGTCGCCACGCCATTCTTTTCATGAGAACTATTTTAAAAAGCAGCTATTGATTTTTAGTTCAAATGACCCACTGAAACAACTGTTGTCATCCCACAACACACCTTGAAAGTGCAGGGTTCTGACTGTTTTAAAAGCAGCAACTACCAACTTTGTTCAAGTGATCTTTTTTAATTCAGTTGTGACCTCCCTTCTCCAAAACCTGGAGGATGTGGTTTGTACAATGAATGAGGTTACCGGTATCAACAGTATATTGTCGGCTGCTGAGAAATGTGAGATGTATATTTTATATATACACACAAAAAAAAAGAAGAAGAGTGAGGTAGATAAATGTTTGAAAAGTTTTTTAAAAAACTGTCCCCCTGTCGTAACTCAAAAAAACCCTTATCTCGGCATTTAAATTCATTATGGGGTATCTCTACAGTGATTTAAACTGATAACACAAAAATAAATTAAAAGAAAAAATCCTACATAGAATACCTTTTCTTTCTTTCTTTTTTTCTTTTTAAAAGGGAAAGAAGTAAACTAAAGGACAGAGGCAAAAAGATGATGTTGGGACTGAAGCTATACAAGCAAAAAAAAAAAGCACTACAAACATATCTTATCTCCAGTCACATCTAGCAATTATATTTTTAAAAAATTCTTTGTTCTTAAACAAAATCAAAGCGCGCGCGAGAACGAACACAGAACAATTCAACATTTCCATCCCAAAACGACCCTTCTTTTTGCTGAAAGACTGTGGTTGGCTCAACCGCCTCTTTGCTGTTGAAGCTCATAGGAAGGTTCCCTTGATTTCTGACCACCAGGAACCTTGGTCTCCTCTGCTCAAGGCGTACGAGACTCAATTCAAGAGCTCCTCTTGATTTTGCTTCGGAAGTTTGGTCTGAACTGCCAAGTGAGAGCCTGAACAGATATCTGCAGCTGTCGAAACAGAACAGTCCAATTGCATGTACAGCCGGCTGCCATTTTTAACCACCAGCCATTTTCGGTAAAAGCAAACCCTTCTAGCAAACCCTCTGATGCAATCTGGTTATCTATATTGGCCACAGCCTACTATCAAACATTTCACGACCATGTTACTGTTGGCTGGGAACGACATGTCGTTGATGGGATGGAAGTGTTAAAAAGGTTTCATTTAAAAATTAATAATAATAATAATAATGATGATGCTAATGACCCCCAAAGCCAGATATCTGCGGCTCAAAAGCTGTTACACCCCACAACTGATACATACACATGTAGGTTTCTGTGTGCGGTTGTTTGAAATGCAACCTAAAAACAAAGCGGGAGCTAGGGCAGGGCTATACATCAATGAATATGAACACTGAACACTACAAAGAATGAACCTTTCTTCCCCCCTGACCTGAGTTTGCATCATACCTTGCACTGTAACAGACTTGGGTGCTGTATGGGCAAAGGGTGGCGAGGAAAATGAGAATACAGTTGATCGATGGAAGGAGACAGCCCCGGCCGGCCGTGGCACGTGAGAGTGTCTAACCGGCAGGTTATCCCTAACCCCCAACCCCACCACTTAAAGAGTGCTTTAACCCTAAACAGCCTTGTTCAAACAACTAGCAGAAAGGGAGAGAGAGAGAGAGAGAAATAAAAGCAGAAATTATTTATAGAAGGCATTCAACAGTTCATGACAAATCATGTTTCAGGTTGGGAAAGCGAGGACAGGCCCAAAAAAATAATAATAGAAATTACACATTAAAGTACAAAGCATAAGAAATTTTCTGGGAATCGGGATTGGGGGGGGGTTGGGGGGTATACGGGATGGCAAAGGAAGGGGAGAAAGGGTAGACCTGAAGATTTTTTTTTCATAGATTAAATCCACAAAGATAAACAAAAAATAGCAGCTTTTTTTCTGTACAGACATATAGATGAGTATCTGAACTGTAAAAAAGTTATAAAAGTGACACAAAAAGACGAATGTGTATGCAAATGATCCATGGTCTAACATAGAACTGCAAGACCCTTTTGAAGTCTTAATAACAGAGAGGAAAAGGTTGACAAAGTGTTAGATGCTTGAATCCATTTAATTGGGTGTTCTCCTCCAATGTGTATGTTTCTCTTAGTCGTCGTTGTTTTGTTTTTTTCCGCAAGCCTACCAAGGACAGCAGGAACAACGCATAAAAATCCCTTCTGGTTTTTTCTGCCTGCATTTCCTTTTTGAAGTGCTGCTGAATTTCTGCACAAGAGATATCTTCCCCCCCTTCCCCCTCTGATTTGGCTTACCAATGCCAGTTTTGTCCAAAATTCATCTAAGGGAGGGGGGTATTTATTTAAACCTCAACAACCCCTTAAGGTCTCAATCGCGTGAAGGAAAAAAACCCCCAATAATCAGGTTTTGTCCTGCTGGAAAAGATATCTAGAGAATTTGAACTTTTTTCCCCACAAAAAGAATGCCAGTGTATGGTTGAATCGAGTGTATTGGCCAGTATTTCATTTAACTAGAGCCTGTGATTACTTTGCTCCTTCTATGCCTACGGGGGGGGAAAAAATAAACCTAAAAGAAAAAGTTCATCTTTTTTTTGGCAAAATTTGGCAGCGCTGAAAACCGTTAACAACTTGGACAAACAATGGCCCTTCTTTATTCTTTTATGTGAGCCTAAAAAGATTAAGGAGTAATATTAAAAATCCAGTCCTCTTTTTCTTCATTTAAGTCCTGTTTTTTGTTTTAACAACCTACAGTATTAGGCAGGTACTCCCACGGGGTAACGGAGAGGCCGGCTGGCCTGCGATCTTCTTTTGATGTGATAAAAAAGTGCTATACAGTCGAACTTCACGCAGATATGTTTCCCATTATGAAGCAGAGAGAAAGAGGAGAGAGAGAGAGAAAAGGGGGAGACACACGTCAGATTCTCAAGTTTTGTGGTGCTATTAAGTGTTAAACGTTAAGAGTTTTCGAAGGCTGACCGTGCGCCCCACATACAGAGTTTCTTTTGCTGAAACAATCTTCTGCTTGCATATTGGAAAAAAAAATGTTATTTCAACTTCTAAACGAAGAGAGGAGTCTCCTGTGTGCAGCTATGACGGTTCTGAAGATCCAGTGAGGTACAGTAGGCTTTTGAACATATTGTTATTTCTTCTCTTGCTTGCTTCTCTGTTCCCCCACCCCTTCCCCCACACCCCAATGCACGTGCACGTAACGTGTTTGCAAAAACCTGGCTCTGAAGGTCAGCAGGCCGAAGACTGGGGCAAAGGCAAAGCTCGCTCGTTCTTGCGCCCCCCGTTCATGTGCGCGTACGGCTGCCTCTCCTCAAAGCTGGCCCGGAGGACCACCACGCCCGGGCCGTTCTCCGCTTTGTGTCCTGAGTGTTTGTCAGAAGGTTGGAGGGTCGAGGAGGGGTCTAAAGGAATGCTCTCCATGTTCTCCGTCTCCAAGTCGAGCTCTTCTGTGTCGGGGGGCTTGTTCTCGTCGCTGTAGAAGAAGGAGACCTCTTTGAAGGCTGGGTCAAGCTCGTCCTTGATGCTCCCAATGATTTCCAAGAAGGCGGGTCTCATCTTGGGGTTGTACTGCCAGCACATACGCATCAGCTCAAAACTGGGGGGGGGAGAGAGAGAGAGAAAGAGACACATCAGCCACCTGTGTTACCACCTTGTTTCACAACCATTTTGGTTTTGATACAGTTTGAGTGTCATTTGCTTCGGTGTCTGACACCTCAGCTGGGCAAAGACTTCATGCTGGCTGGGAAAAGCACTAGATGGAGGGGGTAGCAGTATGACAATAATAATTACAATAGAATTACTGCAAAACGTGCAAATATTATAGAATCCAATATAACATGCAGTCAAAATGTAATCAAGTCCATTGTTTTAATCTCTTTTCAACAGTGAAGACGTCAAAGATGAAAGGTGAAGACGTCAATGAAGAAAGAATGGACGAACTTCCCCAGAGTTACCACTCGTTTCGAATTTTCTTTTTCATACATAAGATCTCAGCTCTGCATCCACATAATCACAAGGTTTCCAAATTGGACTCTTTGTAGTTCCTAAATACTTCAAAAGTAGCTCACATCAGGCTCTTAGCCCGGGTTAGATATATCCAGATGATAGCATGCAGAATCAGAACAACTGTATGACAGCAAGAGCTAAAAGAGCGAACGTCCACCTATTACTCAAGCAGGCGTGTCGTAGAGCAAGACCACACACGAACTTCCTGGAAACCCACTCTCCACCACCTCTAGTCCTGAGCAGCAAGTACTGAAGGAAGGTAATCAGGAAGAAGGAGATCAAGCTTTAAAGATTTTTTAGGAGGAAGAATAGTAGGTGAAGCCTGCTGTAGAACTGCTCTCCTTCTGAGGCAGGAACAGAACTGAAGATAAGGGGTGTTCCACATGCCAGACAGGAAGAGGAAGAATTCAGTTCCTGCCTCCCTGAGTGGACGGTGGGAACCACCCAAAGATGTCCTCCGCCCCAGAGGGAGAACATAGTAGTTTTCTTCTCACACTGAAACTCTTGTAGCAGACTTGGTGCGGGGGGGGGGGGGAAACGTGGGGGGGTTCT